CAGTGATTCAACCCTGTCATATGGGAGAGTGAATTGGGTTCTCTAGACAGTGACAAAAACTCGGAAATGAATGGGCGACCTTCCCAGCAAGTATCATAGAGCAGAAAATGCTCATTCTCAATTATCCCATAAACATAGGATACCATCTGAATGTAATTTTTTGAGGTAACATTAATTTACAACACTGTATCTGATCACACAGGTATATGATTCGGAGGTATAAGATCATACATATGCAGATGTGTGGACAGTTTTAAAGAGTTTGTAGCCACATTAACAAACAAAAACTATGAACCAGAGACACTTTTTGGGGGGCGGGGGGTGGGAGGGGAGGGATTGGGATCAGAATGGGGGGATTGCAATTGTATGGGGAATATAAAAATAAAATTTATTAATTAAAAAAAATAAAAAAAAATAAAATAAAATCCGTTGACTTAAAAAAAAGCCATTAAGAAATGGGTATAATTAGTTTTACATAATTTTCTACTTAATTGGATACATCAAAAACATTAATGTTGTACATGTAACCAATATAAAATTGTAGTGAGATTTTACACACTCATTCCTATCAAGGCTTTGAATATGGTGGGTATGTGCTTTCTACTTGTAGTGCATCAATATGGATTAGTCTTGTTTCAAGAGCTTCATAGTCACATATGGTCAGTATCTCCCAAATTAGAAAGCAAGAGCCTGCGATTTAAGCTCTGTCACTTGTTAGCTTTTTGATGTCAGATCTATTACTTTCTCAACTTCGGTTTCCCCACCCCATGTGTAAAACAGGAACCATAAACTCCCATGGTATGGATAGAGGTCACATGTGTAAAGCAACTAGTATAGTTTCTACACAAAGTAGATGCTCAGTAAATGGAACATTCCTTCAATGGACTTTCACCACAACTGAATTCTAAGTTCCTTATGGGAGACTGAAGTATAAGGTGGATTCTGACTATAGCTAAGTAGAAGATGTTGCTGACCTCTTCCTCTTTTTCCACAGATGTCTCTTCTTAGAGGCACGCACAGGGCTCCCTTCTTCAGGTCTCTGCTCAAAACCACATTCTCAGTGAAGCTCTTCCTGAAGTACCATGTTAATAAATGACTTAACTCTCAATCCCCTTTTACCTGCTTTGATTTTTTTAAAGAATTCTTTTATTGAGCAATACTGGTCTACAACACAGTTTAGGTTTCAGACACATAGTTACTCACCTCAGCTGTAACAACAGCATGTGATCTTGCCATTCCTGCAAGATAGATAAAACTTGAGGGGAAGATACTAAATAAGATAAGTAAGAAGGAGAAAAACAAATACCATAAGATTTCATTCATACGTGGAAGATAAAGAAACAAAGCAAACCAATAAACAAAACAAAAACAAACCTTACCCTTAAACTCCCACAGCAGAGTACTTTGATTATATTTGGAGTGCTCCACCACACCTGTAGTTAATGCTTACTGGGGACTTCTCCCAACCCAGTGGGAAATGAGCTCCCATGGCCGTAAGCTGCCCACTATAGGGTCTCCAGCTTGTAGCGCAGTTTCTGACTTAGAATAGCTGCCAAATCTGTTAATGGATGAATCGTGGATTTATTGAACATCCACAATGCTTTACTCTTAGTGGGTAGAAGGAAATAAAATACACAGTTCTTACTTGATGAAGGGGAGAGAGAAACAGAGACAGAGACAGAGACAGACAGATCAAATGCCTTGTTCTCACTGAAGAGTGCCACCCTGTATGCTGCGAATAGCACACACCCCAACGTTCTGCTCTCCCCAAACTGTCTCCAACATTAGCTGCTATTCCTTGCTTAGCCTGGCTCTGCCTTTGAAAGTTGTGATGTTCAGAATTCGTTTCCCCGCATATAGTCTGACAAGCCCCAGGACTTGTTTTATGCTCCCAGTTCAGCTGGACTTTCCTCTTCCCATCTCTGCTTAATGAAACTCTACATGCATTTAAGAACCTGCACCCTTTTCTAGATCTCTTCATCGGAAACAGTACCTCTGCCCTCTCTTCATCCATTGAATTTGTTTTCTTCATTATTGTATTTAAGACAGAGTATTTCTTACTGGAATGTCTCACTTGTGTGTGTGACTTCCCCTCCCCTGTATTTTAATAGCTAGAGGGCAGAACCTAATTCCAGCTGAGGTGGACTGAGGGTGACCCTTACATTAGCTCCAGTAGAACTGGTGCTAATATGGACTTGTCTGTGGAGTAGAAATCACAGTGTCTGCCATCATTTGACAACATTTAGGAACCCTGTATACTAGCCCTTATTCTTTCCTCAAAAATAGCTTCTTCTATTAAAATAAACTTGTAGAAACTTTCCTTTTTGGCATTCTGTGAGTCATTGTGATTTCCTAAGTCAATGGATAAATTCAGACTTCTTCCATGAAGGCTTCATCTCTCCTTGCCAAAAATATAGATTGTAGCATGAAGCCAACACCAGAGAACATTCTAACCCAGTCATACTCACCCACTGCCCCACCTAGACACCATGATAGAATGAAAATTAGGAGCTGGACAATAGCTCACTTTGTGTCCTGGTCTTTAAAAGGAATTGTATTAGAGTGGGTTTAACTCTGACACCATTGGCATTTGAGTCCAGCGATCTTCTTTGTGGGAGTCTTCCTGTACATTGTAGGGTGTTTACAGAATCCTCACCCACTAGATGCCAGGAGGACTGCCCCCAAGTTGTAATAATCAAATATGGCCTGGGGTGGGGATGGAGGCTATGACTGTCCCTTGGGATGCAGTGGATTAGATCTTTCAGATTTCAGCTAGTTTTAGGACTGTCAGCTGAGACCTCACTCTCCTACACACTTACACTCACACACACATCCGCTGCTGTTCCATGCTTAGCCTTGTTCTGCTTTTGAAAGCTGTGATGTTCAGAACCTTGTTTCCTTGCATACAGTCTAACAGCCAAGCATTCTCTCGCGGGCTCTCACCCTGCACCCACTCACGAGCTATATGGGCGACACGCTGCGATTCCAGTGTGTTGTAGCTCCCTGCCGGAGCTGGGAACAATCTCCCCCACCCCCTGCTTGCCACTCAGGTGGGCTCTGCAGATTGTTTTGGCAGCAGTAGCTGTGACAGTGCTGCACTCAACACGGACGGCTTTGTTTTTGACTCTGAACAAAACTTGAGACCACAGCCTCTGCCAGCTGCCTCCCCTGCTCACGTGCCTCTCGCCTTTGCCCCTGACAGCTGGGGCTTGCAGTGCCAAGCAGATTTCTGTAACTATTCAGAATAAAACAGTGCAGTTGGGTAATGAAGGGAGCGATCCAATTGGGTAGGAAATTCACATCTCTCGTTCTGATTTCTTCTCTCTTAGCTTCACTTCCCATTTTCAGCTGGGGGAGTAGACAAATAAGGCATCGTGTTTCTTCATGTTTATACATGGTTTTACTTGGGGTGAAATGTTTGTGCCCTTGCCACATTTTTAATGAAAATCTGATTTAGACATAAAAATCCAAAGTCTAGACAGGACAAGACTGTGCAGTCACACAGCTAGCCATGTGTGGAAACAGTCTTTCAGAGGTTCTTGTCAGTGAAAAGCTCCCACAGCCCAATGAACAAGACAGACACAGAAACAACCAAGTATAATAAGAGGGAGAATGCTAGCAGACATTTGTCTAAAGTGAGCAATCAGAGCTGGGAGAAAGGAACAAGTTGTACTTTTTGAGAGGAATAGAAAAAGGAAATGACATTGAAGACCTGACCAGAAGTAGCTAGTGAAGGATAATCAGGTTGTGGCTGGGCATTGAGGACAATCTGAATAAAGATGCTCAGCAGGGAAAACAAGGCATCATCAGCATTGACGTTCACCGTTATTGTTACTCTCACCATCACTGATGCCACATTTTGAGCACTTACTAGATGCCAGACATTGTGTAGGACACATTATAGAAATTATGTTATTTCATTCTCACACTAGGTTTGGGTATAAGGACTATAGCTAATAAGATATTGCAGATGAAAAACTGAGACTCAGAGAAGTTCAATAATTTGTCTCAAATGATGTTTATAATTGATGTCTCATGGAATCAAAGTTGCCTTTCAATATAGAGTAAGATAAGCTCTTCTAGAATAATGCAGCGGGGGACACAGCCCAGGGTTAAGCTGCTTAATAGAATAATGATGAGATGATAAAGGCAAAAGTTGTCAATTTTTCAAAGACCAGGACTGGCCTGTGCTATTTCTTCTCTCCTCCCCATGGGGAACATCTGCCTAAGTGATCCCTTATTCTTAAGTATTTCTCCAACATGGCACATCTGTACTGTGCTACCACCTAAAAAATGAGGTGGGCAAGACCCTCCTAGCGCTTTGGCCTTTAGTTTCCCTTCTGCATACCCAGGAACTTGGAGTCATAACAGGTGGAATCTGTGGTCACATTTCACTGGGGTAAATGGGGCATTCATAAAGCATTGAGAACTGGATGTGTGCAGGGCTCCACAACTCTTCATCTGTGAGATGTCTAACCATGTACCACCTGTGTACTGAGTACACATTGTGAGAGGCAGGACATTTGTCAAGATAGTAAATGGAACTTGAGTTCTGCCTCCATGTCCTTTTCCAGATGGAAAGACTATTTCTTCATTGACTAGTGTATTCATTGTTTTGACACATAATGCCTTGAACATCTGTGATCTGCCAAGAGTTGAGATCAAGGTGCCTAAGCCATCCTGTGTTAAAGAGGATGAAATTGTATCTCTAGGAGGCTCAGCGACTTGTGCATGTTGGCTCAACACATAAACAGCAAAGCAGGAGCAGAGCTCAGGTCTCCTTAGGTGCCCAGCTCTTAACCAGGAACTACTGACTTGTATGTACCTTAATCTGTTCTACTAATGTAAGGCGTTATCATGAAGATGTATTGATCACATTCTCCTTTCTCTTCTCTTTATTTTGTTTTTCTTTTCCCTCTCTCTCCTCTCTCCCTCTTTTGTTTCCTTCTTCTCCTCTCTCTCCATCCCCACCCACATCCCTTTATTCTTTTCTCCGCAAGACTCCACAGAATGGAGCAAGAATGAGAGGAAAAAGGCCGGCAGAAAAGCATGAACTGGAGGTTTGTTGAGCTCCTGTACTTCCTGTTTGTATGGGGCCGTATCTCAGTGCAGCCCTCCCACCAGGAACCAGCTGGGACAGACCAACATGTCTCCAAGGAATTTGATTGGCTTATTTCAGACAGGGGGCCTTTCCACCACTCCAGGAGCTACCTATCCTTTGTGGAAAGACACCGTCAAGGATTTACAACCAGATATAAAATATACAGGTAAGATCTGGGCTGTTAGCCCCTGCCTTCTTTGCCTTTCATTTTGAGGGTGCCGTTGGGGTCAGGTGTTGCCATGGATCTCGGTGTGTGGAGGAGCATTTGGGTCACGGGATGGTACCCCTACAGTGTGTCATTTTTCACCTTTTTCATTTTGTTTCCACTTTGCACAAAAGGTTAATAGCAACAAGGAGATGAGCAAATAGCTAATAGTTATTGAATACTTACTGTGTGAGGGGCATAGTGCTTAATACTTTGTATACGCTGTTTCGTTCATTCTTGTAAGAACCAGAGAAGGCGGTTCTATTTGCTTTCTCCACTTCACAGATGAGGTGACTGATCCTCATCTAGGTGAAATAATGTCTTTGGGCACACACACAATAAGTCAACAGTAAGACAGGGATTCAGAGCCTGTTGATTATCTTCCATAGTCACAGCATTCTTAGCCAGCCATGTCAAGGGTAGATTGTGTTGTTTTGCAAATGTATTAATGTATCTCAAATATATTCACACATTTGGGGACAAGTAGGGACAGTCAATGAACATTCCTTGAGCAGGTTTGAACTGGTTCTTAGCCTATGGGAATCCTACTCATCCAATAAGGACTTTGCCCAAGGTCTTTCTGCTTAAAATCATCTTAGATGCTCCCCAACTCAACCACCCTTTCTTTGATATTTCCACAATTGTCTATATTTTACACCTCTTTGGTTTTAAGTCATTTGGAATTAGGGTGTATCCTTATATTTCTTTCCTACCTAACTGGAAATTCATATATATATATATATATATGAATATTTATTTATTTATTTATACAAGCACTGGGTACAGTCAGAAGCATGGGAGGGTGAGAAAATTCACCCGAGCCAGAGCGGGGAACAGAACAGGCAGACTGATGAAATACACTGTTGAGGGGAGCAGCGGGCATGGCAGGAGAGGTCTGCACCCCATGTGGGACTCTCGCTGGCGGCAAGGGATCGAACTGGCACTGCAGAGGCTGTGGGCAGCTATGCAGCCCAGGGCTCAACCACTGTGCCACCAGGGGTGGCCCCCTAACTGGAAACTCTTTAAGGGAAGGTTTTATATATAACAAAGAATTCATTTCTGGCTCCCAAGCATGCTTTTTTTGGTCCTTGTGTTGTAAGCATGCAATAAATGTTGTGGATTTAAATGAATTGGAGTATGAAGCAATCGCCCTAGAGTTGTAGTTTTTGTCCTAATGTTAAGGAAGGAGGGACAAACCCCAATCCTTCTGGCCCAATTAGAATAGAAGAATGAGGAAGCTTGGTAGAGAAAGAAATTTGACCTGTAGCTATGGAGACATGAACTCAAGTCCTGTGGATTTGATATGAAAAACAGTCATGTCTCCTTTACACACTTCATGCTGCTATGGGCAAAGGACGGGTGACATGTGATATCCCTATCAACTCCAACTGTTGTAAATACCTGGGATTCTGTGCTGGGTATTCAAATCCTGGATTGAATGTTAATCCACCAATGACCGAGGTCCCTTAATGGTTCCATCTGTGCAAGAGTCACAGATGAACTTTCTGTGGGCCTTGAAAAGTAGTGATAAATACAGAGTTATTTGGGCCTGATGAAAAGCAGGTGTATAAGGGAACAGTAATATTATGTGTGCAAGAAAAGAAAAACAGAAGGATGAAAAATTCCAAAGGGAAGAATATCAGAATTTCAAAAATATAGTCTAGATTCCAAGGTCTGTTCTTTGGGAGAGCTATCCCTAAGTCTCCCAAGAACAATAGTTATCTACTTAATTTCAAATGTGGATCCCTAAAATAGTTCTGCTAAATATGGCCATTTCTGTTTGTGAACCCATATCCACCAAATATGAGTACTTGCTGATTACTCACTAGAACATGTCAATACCCTAAATCTCAGGTAGTGATGAAAATGTGCACTGGAGATTTAGGTGAAGAAAAGTAGTAGTAAAAAGTAGTAGTAGCAGTAAAAGTCCAGATTTATTATTCTGTTTCTGCTTTGCCAAGAAATAATAACCTGTTGGTTTTATATGTGGCTTTGAGTCACCTGAGGACACTTTGAAGTTGGGATGACTTAGGTTTGTGTTTTCATTTTGAAGATCAGGAAATGAGTGATTCACATGAATTATATAACCAAGAAAGGGTGGAACCTGGACTGGAACCAAAGTCTGATTTTAAGTCTATAATCGCACTAATGAATGTGTTAGAATGAAAAGCATCCATGTATTTACAAAGGTTTCGTAGCAATTCTGTAGGAATGGTTCTTGGATAGACCTCAGGGAAGAGTTGACATGAAAATATGTTATACTGACATGACACGGGAATAGTTATAATAGTGTTTTACATGGGAAATATCATACATGTTCCAGGATTAATACATTTGTGATCACTGTTGAGATAACCTTCACTACAGTGAATAGGATGAGTGGAACCACAGATACAGGGTACTCAACTTTTTCAGCCTTTTACTGAACACTATGATGGGCCATGGAAGGAGGACAGTCAGTTCTTACAATGTCCTGTTTTGTGAGCAGTTCTTTGGTATCTGACAAATAGGAAAACCAGGACTCGGGGGAACTGAATGCTTTGCCCTAGTTCATCCACGTGGTAAGGAGTGAAACTGGTGTACAAACACTGATCTACCTCACCCTCTCAACAACTTTCTTGCCCAACATGGCATCCACATGGAAATTTCAAACCTCCGATGGGGCTCTTCCATGTATTTTTGCTCACAGCTGCTTTGTAGACCTTGGGGCCTGGAGGTAGTTTTAGAGATGCCAAGAAATTCTAATGAAGTGGGGGTGGGATCAGAACATCTGGATATTAATTCCAGCTCTCCGTGCACTGATCTTACAACATTAGGCAAGCGCCCTCCTCTCCTGGACCCTACCTCCTCATCTGCCAAATGATAGGTTGGACATAGATCAGTGCTTTTCATTCTATGCTCTTTGAAATGTTAAGGATCAATTAAAGTAGTCATAGAAGCCACAGCAGTGTGGGAAGGCAGACAAGGTGTATGGTGGGGCAGGGGGTGATCAGGCAGGATCCCAGCCTTACACGGTCTTTATTAGAGAGGGTTTGTATCGGCCTTTGTGCTCAGATTTCACATATGCTTTTTTTGGATTCTACTGTTCAAAACATACTTTGCAGTTTCCTAACAAACAGATTTCTAAGCTCCTGTGTAGCTCTAAAATTAAGTATCAGAGTTAACTAAGGACAGTTTTAATTAAATGATGGAGTTCAACAGAAGCCAGGCCCCTGGTCTTCTAGTTATTCCTTCCTTCCTTTATTTAATCCTCAAATAATTATTAAGCACCAATTACAGGCCCAGCATGGTGTTTGGGACAAACAATACAATGATGAGTAAAATAAACACGGTCTGTTCTCTCATAGGAGAGACTGATATTAATTAAATTCACACACATAGACACACACACATGCACATACACACAAAAATAAAAAAGAAAAGAGTCCAAGATAAGTATAGCTGAGAGGTTGCTAAGAGCATAAATATTGATTTTGCGCCTACTATGTGCAATGATTAGGTGAGGCTCTTGTCATATGGATACACATGTGACTAGGTACCAAGAGACAGGTGTGCCTTTCCAGGCCAAGTGAAGACCAGAGCAAAAGCCAACTAGGACATGCTTACTGGAGTTGTCACATCCTCACATATTCTGTACTGTTGAAACATTAAAGCCTGTCTGTAGGTGATTTCCAGTGTGTCTACTTATGTGCTAGTTGGACACAGTACCTTAGAAACGACATCTGCATCATGAAACAAAGGCATTTCCACATGAAATGCCATATCATCTTATGCTAGATAGCTAGCCTTTCTGAAATGTCCTAGACCTCAAACTTTGGCCAATTTGCTCCATCTAGAGCCCAGACCAGAATCCAGGCTGATTTGAAAGTTTCAGAAAGCAAGCAGGAGGAAGTTTCCTCTCCTTGCTGAAGTGGGTTGAGGCCATCTCCTTCCTCATGCATATGCATAAGAGGCTAGCTGCAGCTCATAGAGTCGTGGTGGGGAGTCGGTGCCCTTGGCAATGATGAGAACCTTTCCAATTAAATCCCAGCAGAAGTCTGCTCTCATGTTGCTTCACAAGTCTAGCTGTAACATGTGTACAAACAGTGCTTTGGGTGCATGGGACACATGGTCTGTCACTCACAAGCGTGAGTTCACATACAGAGGCTGAGGGAATTTTCTGCTCTTGAATTTCTCAGGATGCATAGACATTGATCTTGTAGTAAGGGAACCTATGTGCTGGCCCAGCTCACCTACCTCCCAGGTGTATATTTTGGTCAAGTAATAAAAACTTTTGAGCACCTACCTTCCAGATGCATGATTTTGGTTAAGTTGTAGAACTTCTGATATGCTGCTTCCTCATCTGTAAAATGGATGTGCTAGCTACGGTTGTCTCCAAGGCTTTCCCTTCATTGACATTCCATGATTCCATCAAATGACATTGGAAAATAAAACATGAGGTGGTGGAGAGGACTCTGGAATCCTCGAAGTCCTCCAGATGTGAAGTCTGAAGACCTGGCTTTTGATTATTTTGGATAGTCTTTCTAGCTTTCTCATCATGGGGAAATTCAGTCATGCATCATTTATTCATACATCCATTGGCTTTGAACTTAGCACCAATCATGTGCCATAAGCTGTGCTAGGACAGCTTGGTGACATTAAGATGACCAAAGAACACAATAAAACACACACACACAAACCCCACAGCTTTCACCCATTCCTTCCTCAACCAGAAGAGGAAAAAAAAGAGTGAATAAGCAAACCATTGTCATTCCATGAATAGGAATGTACATATCACTGCTCACATACTCAACCATCTCTTCTATAGAAAGAGACAATAATGTCTGTTCTACCCACTAGGTCAAATGAAACAGAGTTTATGTGAGAGTGCTTTGTAAAATTACAATTTTCTTATATCTGGATTTTTTGTCATTAAGCTTCTAAATAAAACGTCTAATAAAATCATTTATTTCCCCCTTCTG